ACATACTGTTGCTAATGTACAGATGTAAACATACTGGTACTAATGTACAGATGTAAACATACTGCTGCTGATGTACAGATGTAAACATACTGCTGCTAATATACAGATGTAAACATACTGTTGCTAACATTGAAATGCAACAGTGAAATTTTCCCTCTGTGGGATGAATAAAGGATATTTTAATCTTAATCTTAATGATTAAATAACAATAACTTAAAATCAGAGCATTCGCCATAGCCTGGCCTTAGCCATCCGTAAACTCCAGTCAATTATCATTTCCCTACATATACAAAATTAATTTGTATATTGTATATATTGTAATTAATATTACAATTAGTGCAATTGTATGGGAAGCATACACACACACAAGCACATTATTATATAGACACGTTTAGGTAAAGTGTGTATTGAGTAAATGATTTGTTCTATAAACATATACAGGGTGACATGTGTGTATACAGTATATTTAATACACATACATGTCTCTGCAATATTTGGTCAGTGGTTGAATCACATTCACTGAAAGAAAAGTAAATTCTATCGAGGGAGTGACTCATCTGATCTTGTGACAAATTCCGATTCTCTGATACAAGGAAAGACTTGAAGCCTGAGGCAGTCTTTAGTAAATATATCACCTTACATTGTTGATCGTTTTTGCATTTCATTTGCTTAGTAAATTAGGTTCAACAACAGGGAAGAGAGATAAGATTATTGGATCATGTTGATTTAGGAGGTTAAAATAAACCAAAAGAAAATATAAAAGGCCTCTGTGTCAGTTAAATGTTTTTATTAGGCAAGAACATCCATCCATCCATCCATCCATTTTCTACCCTTTAATCCATTTCTGGGTCAGGGGGGTGACAGTCAGAGATGCCACCCAAGTCTCATAGCACCAGCCCCTCACTGATCCTCTGCAGGTGGTGAGTCCACAGGAGGATGGCTGCTCTCTGAGTGTGAGCATAGCCTTGATCGTTCAGTGGGGGCTTTTTGGGCAAAGTGGGGTTAAGTGTCTTGCCCAAGGACACAACGACAGCAGTCATCAGTGGGAGTCGGTGGAGAAGGTGCAGAGGTGGGAATTGAACCCACGACCTTCTGGGCTTAAGGCCAATGCTCTACCAACTGAGCTACTGTCGCCCCCCTAGGCAATAGGCCTAATAATGAGCTTTGAATGAATAATATCCATCAATTATCTTCTGCTTTATCCATTGCCGGGTCGCGAGGGAAGCAGTCTAAGCAGAGACGCCCAGACCCTCTGCAGAGGAAACTCATGTGGACCGCTTGGACCCTCAATTTCATGCTTTCGGTCATTACCCAAAGCTCAAGGCCTCTGAAAAAGATTCCGAACATGTGGAAAATCCAGTGAATCCATCCCAGAACAATGAAACACCAGATACTTTGGTCCAGATTGGGACAGACTGGTGCAGATCAAGGACACAGAGGCTTTCAAAACAAATCTGATCCAAACAGATGTGGCAACACTACAAAGGGTTTTGTGCCGCACTGCTATTGTACAGAACATAAACAAGTAAGTAAGCAAGTTATTTATATGGTGCCTTTCCCAGTCTAGGGCCAAAAAGGGCTTTACAACTTGAGGTATAGCTCCTGAAGAAGATGACATAGTCTGGGATCGCGTCTTTAATTCAGACAGAAGACATGTTTTATTGTCGATGGTAGAGACAGCACGAACACAGATACAACAAAATGCAAGTGTATTATACAGAGCGGAGGCATGGAGACCTCCAATCAGCAGCTTCCACGGTGTGCTTGTAGCTTGGCCTTCAGATAGACAAAACAAGGGAAAAGTACTGGCTTCTGCACATTGATAGAATGATGAGTTTAACTTTAACAAAAGTTGCTTCAAAGTGTTATGAAATCTCACACTCCTCTCAAAAGGAAAAAAAAGGAAAAAAAAATAACGGTATTATCATTCTAATTTCACTTCACCGCTGTTTGTTACTTGTGTGCAAACTTTCAGTAAAAAAACTAAATAAAATCTTTATGTTCATGGTTGTAAACCTGACAAAATGTGCAAAAAGTTCACGGTTTATACTTTCGAGAGGCACTTTAATGTGCCGAACAGTGACACTAACATCAAAGCCTCCGACCAACAACTTCCTTCACTCACCCATCACATTCAGACCTATCACACATTTTTGTAGTGGTAAGAGGAACTGGAGCACCCGGAGGAAACCCACACAGATACAGGGAAAACATGAAAACTCCACACAGCCAGGAGGTGGAATTGAACGCAGGAACTTCTTGTTGTGAAGCTGAAATGCTCGGTAAAAAATTAGAATTAAGACTTTCCCTACAATAATTTAGAGGTGTCACTTTTGATTCAAATGTAAGGAAACAGCTCAGTCCATTACGTCATAGACAGAAGTTCCTGACAATTGTGTGGATGAAGCGATCTGTGAGTGTGCTTTTGATAATTCAATTAAATTCAGTGTTTTAGTATAAATCCTAACAAAAGTCGTCTCAGGACTGCAGGTGTTTACAAAGTTGTCGTTTTGCTAACATCAAGTCAGAGAATTGAGAGAGGGATCCGCTTTCACAGACGGACAGGCTGTAGATGGGATTGAGGCTGTAGATCCAGGGACTGAGACTGTAGATCCAGAACTGAAAAGAATCCCAGCCGGGGAGGAAGGGTGCAGCCTACTAGTCCAGGCCAGGGACGTCCAGTTCACAGGTGCAGGTTAAAGAGGCCGCATTCAGGGGTCCCATCAACACGCCATGAAACAGACAATGGGACAGAGTAGTGAATAGCATTGAACAGACTGCAGCTGAAGCCATAATGACGACAGATAGTGTAGGAGCGAGGATAGTGTTGTTACCGGATTTCTCCCAGCAAAGTGTCTCAGTATGCATGTTGAAACCGTACAAAAGCAAACACGGCCCCTTTAACGCCAGCTTTAAGCGTGTTTCTGTCGCCCCCTTCCGGCTTAGCGCTCTCACTGCACGTCGCCTTCTCTGGCCCCGTCTCGTCTCGTTCTCTCTGCAGACGCGGGGGCCACATCTGCCGCGGGAAAAAAAACCCCGCAGAAAGCACGTATACTGGGCTTCGTGCGTTAAACAACACAGGGCTCTATCTGACTTGTAACCCGTGGGACAGGGCCCGTTTTCGGGGCTGAAGATGCGTGGATCCGCGGGGCTGGGCTATGGGGGAGTGACAGTGCTTCCTGTGGCGTTTCCTCTGTTTGTAAACTAGCGCTGGAAAAAAACACTCCCGACGACTGAACTCAGGTACATACCAGGCTTTTATTGCTTACTGCGACCAGTGTGTGTTTTATTTAATTCATCTACGTGTATAATTATCGGATGTACTTTTAAATATCGACTTGGTACGGCGTAAAAAATGGTTTATGGTTTAAAACATCGTCTGCTAGCTTCTGTTAGCTTCTGATGCTAGCGACTGTTAGCTTCTGATGCTAGCGACTGTTAGCTTCTGATGCTAGCGACTGTTAGCTTCTGATGCTAGCGACTGTTAGCTTCTGATGCTAGCGACTGTTAGCTTCTGATGCTAGCGACTGTTAGCTTCTGATGCTAGCGACTGTTAGCTTCTGATGCTAGCGACTGTTAGCTTCTGATGCTAGCGACTGTTAGCTTCTGATGCTAGCGACTGTTAGCTTCTGATGCTAGCGACTGTTAGCTTCTGATGCTAGCGACTGTTAGCTTCTGATGCTAGCGACTGTTAGCTTCTCTGGGAGGGGGAGGAGGGCGGCCATCACGGACACATTTATCGCCTTTACCAGCAAAACTTTGGGCTTTTAACACCGTGCATTCGTTTACAACGCGTAAATATTGTTCTTTTCTTTAAAATGCAATGCAATCTGGGGTTTTTCTGATCATATTTTGAGATATTTGTTGAAATAATCGTGGCCCCCTTATCTTTTTTATTGGAGGTGGGCGCCAGTCAGTAGCAGCAGCAGCAGCTAACTCTGACCCCTGTCTCTTTTCGTTGATTTAAACGCCTGGAAAAAAAGCTTCAGTTGTTTGTATACGCGTAGAAAGACACACTAGCACAATAGTTTATGTGTTGTGTGGTGTAGTAGTCAGATGAGTGGCTTGACCAAACTCTGCTAAACTAGCCTCCTCCTGAGACCACCATGGCTGTAAAACCCCCTGTGATAAGACCATGCGTGGGGAAATAAGGAAAAAACAGCAACGGTAGAAATCCACTATTATATGTAGAAGACTCTAGCTCATGTGGAAGTATTTTTATTGTTTCTAAACTAGAGGAATTCATACAGTTTTGTCATCGTTATATTTTTGTGGTTTCCCTCAAAAATAGGTATTCGAGAGAAGAAATTTTATGGTAGGGGCTTCTCAACAAGCTGCTTCTAGGTTGATGGGTTCAGTGTAGTGTTGAATTAAAGCTGGGGTACCTGACTTTTCTCTTTATTTCTTAAATTGGTTCATATAAAATGTGTAAAATTGAATATCTGACCACAACCTGCTATCTTCATCAGAGTACAAAACATCTTTAGTGTAAGAGCCCTGTGAGTCACTATTTTACTTTTTGGGAGCTGTTAGGCTGAGTTAGGGTGATCCTTTTATTATTCACTTTTCTTTCTGAAAAATCTGATCTAAAGATGCAACAAGGAAGGAATTGGTTAGGTTTTTTTTTTATTTTAGTATTTTTTTGTAGGGAGAAAATTTAGCAACCCCTGCTTTAAGAAGTTTCTCAAATGGCTCCCTCTACTTTGTTGGAATATAAACGTGGAGCCATACTGGGCCTTTGAGGACCAAGTTTAATCACTTGAATTACTTGTGTCATTGTGTTGTGAATATCTTTTTGGGAGCAGTTTCCCCCTCCACATATTTTGATAGATTTCTAGCCTCATAGAGTTGATTCATGTGGTGGGATCCTCCTCCACACTCTCCGCAGGCCTGTTGTTGTGTTTGTTTGACGCTGTCCTCCTCTCCTCAGTAAATGCTAGATGAGCTCCGACCATCCTGACTGACTCTGTGGACGACCCGCGCCCACACTCACCTCAGCCATGTCCCATCTGCCCAGCGGCTCAGTGCGCGACCATATGAAATGGGTTTGTTTGAAACACCACAGCGCCTAATGCACGATTGTGTCACTCAGGATGTTGTCGACTTTAGCCTGGTTTTCATTGGCTCTACTCTACTCTACCCCGTTTGGGAGAGTTGATTTGCCAGAATGCTGCTGGAAGCCATGGATACCAAGAAATTGCCTCAGATACTGGTTTGTTCTGAATGGAATGGTAGGATACAGTACCAAGGAGAGTAGAGTAGAGCAGGGTAGGGTAGGGCAGGTCTGGTGGCAATGGGGCTCTACTTGGCCCTACTCTATCCTACCTAGTAGCATTTCCATTACTCTTTTGTATCTGGTATTGTGTCCTAGAAACCTACCCACAACTAACTAGTATCTGGGAAAATTTCTTGGTAACCATGGCTTCTAGCCGCTCTCTGTCCTTCACTGTCCTTCAGAACACTTTAATACCAGCTCGGCCTGGAAAGAAACGGGACCAAGTGGAACTAAAGAAGGACCAGTGGAAACAATCCCAATCTGGGTAGAGCCAAATATCGCTTGTGGAAACAGGGCTTTAGACTCCATCATTATTCTCCTTTGCTAATATTATCATTAAAGCTAGGCCTATTCATTGTGCTGTTTAGGCGGGACTGCTTGGCTGTGAGGCGGTCCTCTCCAGCATGGCTCTAATGCAGGCCAGTACCATGGGTGCTCCGCCTAAAAAGATGATGGCCCAGCTCGGCCACGGTCCCCCACAGAGAGAGATCCCAGAGCGGCCTCCCCAGGGCCACATGATCCTGCCGTCGGGCATGAGCTGTCCGCCTCTGGTGAGCGTCCTCCAGCCTTATGACACTGGCCCAAACCACACGGTGGGTCTGGAGTTCAGTTCACCTCTGTTTGTGTTGTTTCCATTCTTACAGTGCTTAGACCTATTCTTAAAACATGTGGAATTTTATGGAACCTAAACTTGGGTTTAACATGGTTGAAAAATGTATTTCAATTGGGAGATTATGGCCCTGTAGAGATCCGATTCAAATTATTAATGTATTCTGCAAGGAGACTGAAGGGGAGAGGAGACAGGACGGGAGAGCCTAAATCAAAGCTTACCTGTTTTTACCTTACCTTACATTTGAGAGATTATGGTCCAGTCAAGATCCAATTGAAATGTTGGATATAGTCTACCATTTTCTATTCTATTCTATTTCTAAGACTGGTTCTTGGATTCTTTCCTAGTGCATAAAAACATTGGAAAGTGTTGAGGTTACAATATAAGCGGCCACCGAAACAGAAATTTCCCAGTTGAGCATTTTTCAATAATTTTGGAATGTGATGTGTGTTTGAAATGTATATATGACACATCTATGGGCAGACAAGTGGAACGACTTGAACTGGTGTGTTCTGTCTCTGCAGCTCATCCGAAAGGAGGGCGAGTACCAGACCCCGCGCCTGCTGGACGAGAAGGACATGAGGGCAAACGAGGAGATGCTGAAGAAGAAGATCAGGAAGTCTGGTCCTCCTTGTAAAGTGAGCGAACAGGAGTCAAGGGGCGGGCAGGTTAGTGGTTTAACCGGCATTGGACACAAGCTCGGGTTTGTGCTCTCAGATTCAACTAGAGACCACGACCGATCCACAAACACCCAACATTGTTTTTGATTTGGTTGGGCACGATCATAATGGTTGGAACTTTGCGGTGGAAGCTGCTGGTGTTGACTTTACTCCTCCGTTTGGACAACAGAGCAGAGGTGGGCGAGAGAACAGGTTCTAGAGGGAAACGGGAGAGTCTGTGCACACATTTCTGCCGTGATTCCCATTAAATAGATTTTCCTAGATTAATAAAGGTCGGTAAAATGATAAGACCCAGAGAAACAGAGGTGGAAGAGACTGCCACATCATCCTCACCTCGGATCCTCTGGGTACATGGCCAGAGATCGTTGGGACAGAATACGACAGCGCTCCAATATTATCACACTGTTGTAGATCAGTATTAAAATCTATAATGTAAATAAATTAAAGAAAATTTCTTAAATAAGAAATTGGAAGCTTTACTCATCCCACGGTGGGGAAGTGTGTTTCAGCCCACAGACAGGACAGTAATAAGAGCACACAAGGAACACACAACATACTCATAAAATACTGGCTGTAAAAGCTTCATAATAAGAACAATAAGTATATACAGCCTGGATCGACAGCCTGTCCGTCCGTGAGGTCGGTTTTCTCTCTCAATGTGGGCCTCCCCGAGGTTTGTCACTTTTATCCCCACTGGGGTTTTTTTGAGTGGTGCCTTGCCGATGCTGGAGGCACTAAGAACGGTGATGCTCCGGGACATTGGTCATCCCGCTCCCTAGTGACTAACGGCTCTTATGTGTTTATTATTGTATTTCCTGTGTTGGAAATGTGATCTGTTGGTGGTGAATCTTTGTAAAGTCCCCTGAGACGACTGCTGCTGTAAGTTTAGGGGTCTACACAAATAAATTGAATTAAAATGAGTAGAATGTGGGCAGAGGGTAGAAGTAGATAAAGTGATATTCAGTGGACATTCTGAAATTGCACATTATATTAATGAGCCACAGGTGTCAGAGATGATCATAATGAAGCAGATGGAAGCGGGCTACATCTTCTCGAAGTTTGTTTACTATCACATCTTAATCGAGCTGTTCATTATCACAAAACGTCGACACGATCCATGTCCGGTCTTTCTCCCTTTTATTTTAATCCCATAGAAAAACCTCCGCTCTGTAATCACTTGAGACAACACCCAGTTTTTGTTGCCGGGCTCAAAGACGGGGGCTGTTTGGATCGGTGCTGGGAGCTCTCATGCATGCAGACCGTGTGGGGGTGGGTGGCCGTGGGGGGAGGAGCGGAGGGAAAATGGCGGTAGGGGGTGGAGGTTGTGTGGAGACGAAGCAGGGGGGGGAGGGGAGGAGAGGAGCAGCACAATAACTGCAGTTGTGTTGAGCGGGGAGCAGCCGGGAACACTGAGGCACGCCGGGATCGAAGGCAGAAGGACTGGAGTAGAATCTGAAGAAGCAAAAATATCACATGGATGTAGGACCCAAAATATGACCCAGATTTCAGTTTCTTCTTTTTAACCATGTTACAACTAGAAACTGATAGATTAGGCCCCATTACACAGTTTTGAATTCAAGCGAGAGAAATGTAATAGGACAACAGAAAAACCATTTAGCCTTTTTGAAAGATTCATTTACATCCACTTTATTAATTGATTTCTGGGTCCGGGGGGGGGTCTTCCTGTCTAGGTCCTGCTGCAGGTGGTGGGTCCACAGGTCCCTCAGCAGGGGGGGTTAACCGTCTTGCCCAGGGACACAACGAAAGCCGATAGGAGTGGGAATAGGTCCTGTATCTGGTCGGGGATGAATCTAATAAGGACAAACTGACCAATTTTATTTTTGTTGCTGGTTCAGACTACACCACAAATTCTGGGTCCCAGTTCAAACGGCTTTTCCGAGGAGTTTGCATGTTCTCCCCATAGGTTTCATGTGCATATACAACAAGTAAAATCTTTCAGCTCTGGTCCCAACCAAGAGCATAGACACCTGGAGCTGGGTTGAGCGAGTGGTGCCGTCCAGTCAGCTCTGATTGATCAGAACGCTCACATGTCCCTCCGATCCTGGCCAGAACACGGTACTTCTGCTAATGTTTGGGACATCCATAGTGCGAGCATGAGCCTATGAGCACAAGCCATTGATCTGAATGGGCAGACATCTTGTAAACCTGGGGCAGACATCTTTGAGACTTGGAGCAGACGTTTGAAAATGGTCTCCGCTTTACATTTTAAATTGAGAAAAATTAGATGAACAATCATCTTTGCAGAGAGCAGCTGATTTAACTAGCTGTGAGAGCATTCGAGCTGAAGGAGGCACGGTCACCAACTCTTGTCTCTTCTAGGGAGCGAACGGAGACGAGAACGGCCCATCGTCCAAAGTGCAGAAGAACTTCATCTGTGATCACTGTTACGGAGCGTTCAGGAGCGGGTACCACCTTAAGAGACACATCCTCATTCACACCGGTGAGAAGACAGGACCCTGACAATGACTGTCATTCCATGTTTTAGAAGGCAACCTGCAACTCTCTATGCTACCACTGTCTCTGTGTGTGTGTGTCAGTCATTAACGTGTTTGTGTGTCTGCAGGAGAGAAGCCGTACGCCTGTGGTGTGTGTGACATGAGGTTCATTCAGAGATATCACCTCGAGCGACACAGCCTCATCCACACGGGTAAGAGTCCAAACATACAGTCTGTGGACAGTCACTTCCAACAAACGCAACACAACTGTAGTCCGGCCACACAACTGTAGTCCGGCCACACAACTGTAGTCCGGCCACACAACTGTAGTCCGGCCACACAACTGTAGTCCGGCCACACAACTGTAGTCCGGCCACACAACTGTAGTCCGGCCACACAACTGTAGTCCGGCCACACAACTGTAGCCCGGCCACACATTCAGATACACAACTGTAGTCCGGCCACACAACTTCCCCTCCAATAAACCACTACACAATACTACACAACTGTAGTCCCACAAACCACTGCACAACTCGTAGGCAGAGAGCAGTCGTGGGCGATGTGAAAAAGAAGCTTCCGGAAGGTCTGCTCAGCTGTTGTGTTGCTTGTCACTCCCATACACTTCCAGAGAATATGAAGGAGAGCACAAGCACTTGATGGTTGTATGTAGTCATTTTTTTATTAACTAATAATCTAACAAGGACCCTATTGAGATCAAAGGTTTCAACTGGAGTTTGCATGTTCTCCCTGTGTCTGCTGATGACCCAGCTGCACCAACCAGACAACAGACAAGAACCAAGACCCAACCGCTCTGTTGGCGCTTGCTGGTCCATGTCTGCGCGAGAAACACTTGCTCCATCTGTGGATCTGCACACACACTCCAGCGGGTGGCAGTGGCGAGTGTCAGTGTCTGTGACCTACAGGCAACAAGCGGTGTGTGAGCACGGCTTGAAGCGTCGTGCACAAAGACTCACAGCAAAGCGCTTTTCAGTCAAAAAACGAGTGTTTACCCATTAAGGCCTGACCCACCTGGTAAAACAGACATGTAAAACCTATGGCGACTTCAGAACCACCTCTAAAACCTGAAGTTTTCCTGAAATTCAACGTCTACAGAATGACTGATATCTCGGCCTCTGTTGCAGATAGAAACATAATTCCAAAAGAATTTGGGAGCTGAGACGTGTGGCTTTCAATAAGAATGCAGTGTATTATTATAAACCTTCAGTAGAATAAAACAAAAAATGTACAACTCCCACACGAAAGGTACTAAAACAACCAAAAATAATGTGAGACTAACACATGCTTCTCAATACAATAAGTCAAAAAGTGTTTGGCAATAAAGTGGCACTGACTGAATGGAAAAAATGTATATAAAAATCCACTCTCACCCCAAAAAGTCAAATGACTTATTTTTCTTAAGGAAGAAAAATAAAAAAACACTACTGTCGTGGTTTGTTTTAGCTGTGTTTTGGCTGTGCTTGGGGGTGACGGGGAAGAGACGTGGAGACAAGCAAGACCCGCACGTGCAACAAGCTGGGGATGGTCTTGATCGCGCGTCTATGGTCCGCGGTACATGACCACGTTACGGCTGCACGTTCGCTGAGCTGTGTCAAAGCAGCCACAGTTGCTCCTGGGGTCAGAGCGGAGGATGTTAATCCCGTTTGAGTACGTAACATAAACGACTGCCCGCGGTCACACATTTCACAAATTTTCACAGAGGAAAAGTCAGATTTTGCGGATCCACAGATAATTCTCATCACAGGTTTATCTTGATGCATTTCATTGATCAATGAAGAGAATAGGTCAAAAAAAGGACGTGTCCGCTTTCCCGGTGTTCTGTCGAGTTAGTCTGCCCGTCGACATGATCTGCCTCAGCTGTTAATGATGTAATGCAAACCTGCGCATGTGCGTCTCACGGCAGCCGAAGCAATCCAAGATGGCGGACCTGGAGTCCGCGAATTGCTTGTAAAGTTAAATACGAACAAATTAAGACGCCAATGTCACTTTTAATGCAATTTGAGGCGAGATGTTGATGGTTCTGCGGTGTGAAATGTGTGTTTTAAGAGTTTCGTGTAAAGTTTGTTTTAAGCAGTCCACTGTTCCTGTTATGATAGCAGTCCCTGGGTTGACTGCTGCATACGTCAGGCCCATGACACGTCCTGTGACTGGTCTATCAGGTTGATAATGGAAATAATAAATTCAATTTTAATGCATGTATCATACTGTATTCTATATGATTAACAATAGTGTGTTCAAACAAAATATTTAATAAGATCGAGTTTTTTCCCCATTCTGGCGGGTTGCTGCGCATGCGCAAGTCAGATTTGGGCACACTAGCAGTGTAGTTTCACAGGATCAGTGGACTGCTTAAAACAAACTTTACACGAAACTCTTACTCTTAAAACCGACATTTCACAACGCGGAACCATCAACATCTCGCCTTAAATTGCATTAAAAAGTGACATTCGTGTCTTATTTTGTTATTTTAACTTTTAAAGCAATTCGCGGACCACATGTCCGCCATCTTGGTTTGCTTTGGCTGCCGTGAGACGCACAGGTTTGCATTACATCATTAACAGCTGAGGGAGATCATCTCGAGGGGCAGACCAACTCGACAGAACACCGGACTTAAAGGTAGAAGTGCGCAACAGCGCTCCTGGCTTGAAAGGCAGAAACGAGGGAATGCGTTCCCGGCCTCAATGGGTTAACGCTCTCACTACACCTTGATGTCAGGAAATGAAGCGAAACGGCTATAACACACAGTCTACAATTATGTCCGTTCCTGTTCAAAGTGCTTTGGATGTAGTAGCTACATCACATATTCAGAAAGCAAAAAAATGTAAGGTAAAATTTTAATGTATTATTGAAATATCATTATATTGATAAAACGGCAGGTAGCATTTGCCCTAGTGAATAGCTAGACGTCTGATTAGCTTTAGCAATTAAGAGAATAATGAAAGTTATATCATATCTTTTTGGGGGAACGGGGATTGTCAAGATCTGTCGCAAGAAACTGTTGAGGGCTTTTGGAGCACACACTTGCAAACCCACGTCTCTGCTGCAGTAGGCAACCCTCCCACTCTCTCTCCCACACATGTCAGGCACAGTGAGCACAGACCAATCCGAAGCCTTTGTCTGACTGTTCAGGCTGAAACTGTCACAACGGCTCCCTACACGACACGGCGAGCCCCTGCTTGATCCATCGTTCGGCTCTCAAAACCAATATGCATCAAACTCCCCCAGACGTCAAATCCATGGGGTTGGTGTATCTCGGCCTTGTGGTTTCCTCCGGGTGCTCCGGTTTCCTCTACCACCAAAAACATGTACATTAGCCCCCCGGCATGTACCTGCGACCCACAGAAAGGGCCCACAACAAATTAAGTGCTTTGTGACTGAAAAAACCCAACCCCTGACTACGAGTGGTAGATCTCTCTCTTATAATTTATAATCTCTAAAATCTGCTTTCACAATAAAATGCGTTATGAAGCACAGCTGAGCAGACCTCCTTTTGCTACTGGAAAATTAAATGCTCCCTGTTTCCCTGCCCTCATGTTGGAAGTTGTTACAGAAAGACTTGTATAAAACACTCATCATTCTGAAAATGAACATTCTCCCACAGACACATCCTTGAAGAGTCGTAGACCGTAGTTCGTCAAACACGTGTTTAAAAGGCCTGGACATCAAAGGACTACATGCATCAAAAAGATTAAGATTCATTTTTTTTCTGCCATTTGCAGTAAAACAATAGGAATACATTTGCAAATGTCCCCAGTGTGCACAAGACAAGTACATAACATCCTCAGCCTACATCCATATTCATGATTTGGTCTCAGCTCCATTTGGTCCCTGAGTCTTTGAACCCTAGACTAATACTTCTATGTTTGTGTGTAGGAGTGAAGCCGTACGCTTGTGCCATGTGTGACATGCGGTTTTTCCAGCGTTACCACCTGGAGAGACACAAGCTCACTCACACGGGTATGAGGCCTCACCGTACCCCGCTCATGTTCTGTTTTTACTAGACCCAGTGTTCACATGTTCTGACGACCGCTTTGTTAGTACTTCATTCAAGTGTAAATGGCTTGGGTTAGTCCTTTGATGTCCTGCAGCTAATCGCCCATTAGAGCTTTATGTCTAGAGTCAAATGTAATGCAGCTGATCGTATGTGATTTAAATGTGCGAGCCTGATGGTCATTCACTGTAGAGCAGGCATGTCCATGTCCAAGACTAAATCGTAATGCATTAAATTAAGTTCGGTCCTCCACAGCCTGACAATTTCTCACTGTGGCTCCAGAGAGAACAATCACCCTCCGCTGGTATAGACAGACCTTTGTTTTTGATTGTGTCGTAAAATTCCAAATTTATTCCAAAATTCCAGCTCCGCTCTTGCCAATCCCTGTCAGTTTGAACACTTAAGTAGAACCAGGGCCAAGAGGGACTAAAGAAGGACCTGGTACTGGTGAAACGGGGCCAGTGGAAACACTCCCAATTGGAGTAAAAAAGAGCAGGGCTAAATACGGCTGGTGGAAACGGGGCTTATGTGTTTAATTTTTTAAAGCTAAAAAAAGCCCATATCCATTCAAGGCAGTTTTAACGTCTGGATTGTCAGCCCCTGGACAAGTATAGTGAACTAACCCGCTTATGAAAACGTTTAGATGCCCCTGCTGAAGTGTTTAATGTTGAGCTATTCCAAGTCTTATCAAAGTAGAGAATATGACCTCTGACCTGCCCCCACCGGTCAGGCTAATCTGTGAATCCTCTGCACCCAGGGGTGAAGCCGTACGCTTGCTCCATGTGTGACATGAGGTTCTTCCAGAGATACCATCTGGCCCGACACAGCCTCACTCACACGGGTACGCCCTGTAGATCGACCACACACTCTTGTACATACACACTGTCCCATACACACACACTGTCCCATAAACACGCACTGTCCCACACACACATGCACACACTGTTATAACGAGAAACTAGTTGTGGCTTAATATATTAGGCATAAACCAAATGGATATAAAAAAACATTTTATGACATAGTTACAAGATAAAACCTAGACCACAGAAAATAAACCATACACACACACAAGGACACATGATGGAGAAAGGGACTCTGGCCCTCAGGAAGCCTTCTGCTTCTGTTGTCAGAGGGGAGGGTGAGACCAGAGAGACATTTACATTCCCCCATATGTATTGTGGTGGTACCCCTCCCCCAATGAAGAGGGACCATTTTTAGCAGAACATCAAGAAAATTCAATGCACACTCACACACTCCTGTCTGACGCCATTGTCTGTGTGTGCAGGGGTGAAGCCGTACGCTTGCTCCATGTGTGACATGCGGTTTTTCCAGAGATACCATCTGGCCCGACACACTCTCACTCACACCGGTACCTGCTTTCACCTCCTCCTGTAGTAGTGATTCCTCCTTTAGTACCGACTCTGTCCTTCTGCTCCATCACACGTGTCTGAACACCTGCACTGTGTAACACAGCTGACTCCTCCTTTTCACCCTCCCATTTCTCTTCATCTTTGCTCTCTCGTCTTCTTCTCTCTCCTCTTCCTTCCTTCTCTCTCCTCTTTGCTTCTCGGCACTTCCTCTCATCCTCTGCTCCTACAATATGAATCCACGTCATGTAAAGTTCTCTCAGATCGTCATGTTTTTCCTAAACGTGGGAAAAGCAGGATCTTCAGTTGCAACAAACAGTTTGGGCCGATTCACTGCGGTGATGACGCCTTCGGTGTTTCTGGCAGAACCACAAACCAGTTTATTTGTGAATCTTTTATTGGATATTTACTGCTGTGGCAAACGTCAAAAATAGACTCAACGTTTATTCATCTTTAGTTCAGGCTCAAATTCAATTGGTCCAAATGTCAAAAGCAAAGCATTATAAAAAGAAAATGCAATACAATATATACAGTCAGTTGAAGCAGAAGTATACCTGAGCCCAGTGCTGTGGCATGAGCCCATTTTAATTGTTTGCCACAGAGATGTGGAGACGGGATGGAGTCGGTCTGAAGGAGGGCATAGTGCTGTTTTGTGTTAGTGTGTGTCGCCGTCGTAGAGCACAGAGCTCACGAATATATTGGCAGCATCATTAGCATCACTAGCATTAGCAACATTAGACTGCAGATGCAAATGGCTTGTGTGCGTCGTGCTAAAGTTTGGCCCTGTATCCAGGGGTGAAGCCGTACGCTTGCTCCATGTGTGACATGAGGTTTTTCCAGAGATACCATTTGGCCCGACACAGCCTCACTCATACTGGTAGGCATCCTCTACAAACCTACATGAATACTATATGTATCGTACAGTAACTATGATTTATAATGGAAGTTTGTTAATGGGCTTTGTTGGAAGACTGTCCACTGACAAAGTGACTGTTGCATGTTGAATATTTGTGTTCTGAAACCGTTTCTGTGACCTGACCTGTCTCTGCTCTTTAGGAGTGAAGCCGTATGCATGCACCATCTGTGACATGCGGTTTATCCAGAGATACCAGCTGGAGCGCCACAGTCTCACACACACAGGTAAGTCTGAGCCGGAATCTCCCACTCACACACATGACTTCTTCAAACTCGAGTCTGTGACCTAAACGACAGTTCACCCACTGTGGGACCAATAAAAGGGAGTCACAGTTTAAGGCACATTCACTCTTGGAATTTGCAATGACACAATGACTGGCGTCTTGGGAGGATTCATCTATACAAGCAGGGAGAGCTCTCCTTCTGTCAGTGCTGAGTGATGAACACTCTCTCCTCACACCCAGAAGGTCCAAATGATGTGCCTTTAAGTCCAGTGTGTTTCTCACTCTGTCTGGAGATCTGCAGCCCATCATTTTGACCAAACTTTCCTGATATCTCAGTAAAGTTCAGATCATTTTGGCTGGTGTGTGTGTGTGTGTGTGTGTGTGTGTTGTGTGTGTGGTGAAGCCCCACGCTTGCACCATGTGTGAGTTTTATTCAAGTCTTCATCACATTATGAGCTCCTTGCCTGACGTACAAGGAATACTGGGTAACTGTTCCTTTTGACCAAAAGGCAGCACTTGCATGTATCCACGAGACTTAAGTGCGAAGGTAAGCTCTGAACGATGAACGATCTCCACTGGTGGCACACGTGTTTAGCCACATTTTGTAATGCAGAATGTACAAATAAAACCACGAATGTGGGGTTCGGACAGCAGACAGAAGGCTTATGTAACCGGCGCTGAGTTCTGGAACCAGCTGGGCCCCACTGTGACCAGTCCAGAAACACTCCACCACCACCTGTACAGAGCCTGATATTATCTGGATAGGGTGCTGCTTCCCCATAGACCTCAGTGTTCAGGGACCTTGCAGCGTTCAGAGGGATTTGGGGATTTTAGCGTCTCTTGTCTCAACCTTTTTTTTGAAATCCATAGATTTTCTATGAACCCATGATTTAGTGTAACTAACTTTCTCGTGCTAATCTTTGGGACGTCCATGCCTCGAGCATGAGCCAATGAGCACAGGCAATTGATATGAATGGGAAGACATCTTGGAGACCCGGGGCAGACATCTTAGAGACCCGGGGCTTGGTTGAACCCTGTTAGTTCAAAAGGAGATTCCTGTATTCTTTTTTTCTTCAAGTCGTTCACGATGGAGAGATGAAGACATCGGACCGGAACTAAAGGCCATTGTGTCATTTCACATTCACAAAATGTAAAAATCAAATGTATGCCTCTCTTTGCCACACATATAATTTGAATTCTTATTAGGTTATATCTGAGGTACAGCCTCAGATTTAATTTGATGCATGTTTACACATCACAAATGCATTATCTTTGTTGAATGTTATGATGTTAATGGTTGTCCAACAACTGCCTAAAATTGTCTTGCCTCTAAAGGCTCGTGGCAACTTCTGTGGACGATTCTGACTGATTTGGCTGGAAATTGAAGAGGAATGTTAATGGTGTTGTGATTTTTGAACGGTTGCAACTTTTTGACTTTCTAAATTGTTGGAATCTGGACACTAGCGAATATTTGACATTAGAAGCACTGGAAATTGGAAATGTGACCTTCATCTTTGACTGTGAAGCCGTCACCAAACTTTCCTGATACCTCAGTAAAGTTCAGATCATTTTTGGCAGTTGCCTTGTCTGTGCTAAAGCCTTTGTGTGTGTAGGGGTGAAGCCGTACGCTTGCACCATGTGTGACAAGAGATTTTTCCAGAGGTATCACCTGGCCAGGCACAGCCTCACGCACATGGGTATGCTCCCGTCCTTGGGTCTGCACAACATCAAACAGGCTTTCACTGCATCTCAGGGAACTCAGGAACACGTACCACAAGCTCTGTCCACCAGGGACTTAAGAGTCAAACAGACATTTAGCTCATGAGCCCGGGGCCTGACTTTTGTCATAAAAGCTGGGGTACCAAACTTTCAATCTACAAAAAATGGAACTACGTAATAAAGTCCATCTAACAAGTTCTTGGCTCTAAAGCCCAGTTTCCAACAGCCCTACTCTACTCTACCCTGCTCTACCCAGAGTGTTTCCACCGGCCCTGTTTAACCGGTACCAGGTCTTTCTTTAGTTCCTCTTGGCCCTGGTTCTATCCAGTCCGAGCTGGTACTTAAATGTTCAAACAGACAGTGATTGGCCAGAGTGCTGCTGGAAGCCATGGTTACTAAGAAAATTCCACAGAATACTTGTTTGTTGTGAATCGGATACGGTACCAGATACTAAAGCGCAATGGAAACACAACCAGGTAGAATAGAGCAGGGCCAAGCAGGGCTGATGTAAACTCTCTTCTAAAGTGACTCAAAGGGCCCTGAAAGAGGTTTTCTAATGAGATGAAGATGGCATGTTGTGGTCTAAATTTTAGTCTTTCTGTTGCGACAAACGTGTATAATTTATCAAAGTTAGGTGCCCCAGCTTTAAGCACAGCAGCAGAAATAACTGTTGTTCTGCGTTTAGGGGTGAAGCCGTACGCTTGCACAATGTGTGACATGAAGTTCTTTCAGCGTTACCATCTGGCTCGGCACAGCCTCACGCACACTGGTATGAGTCCACGCGCCATACCACGGTAGCCCTTTCACAGAGGACCAGCAGGCGCCAACGAGGCCCAGGCCTGTCCCACTACTTTGGACCCAACGGAGCCGAGAGTTAGCTTTGAGACTCATTAAATTAGTCTGATCCTGGATGGGCTATATTTTCTGGATAGGGTATAGCTAGCTTTAGCTTTGCCTCCCAGGAATGGAGGTAGAACACACACACGCTACCACAAACTAAACTTACCAGGGCATGGGGATTGTTCCCATAGACCTCAATTGTTAACAAACGGATTGTCCTCAGCTGACAGGGAACCTAAAGTGTTCTCAAAGATCAGTTTTCTATAAATCCATACATTTGTGCAACAAACTCGTCGCCGTTGCCTTCCAAACATTTACGGGGGCTGTGCACCAACGCACCGCAGTGCTGACCTACCGTCACCTCTGATTGGTCAGAACGCTCACGTGTTCGCTTTGGCCTACGAAAGTACTACAAATGGCACACCCACAGCACAGAATATTTATAGAAAACTTTGTCCTCCGTGGTAGCTTACGCCTTGATGTGAGCACAGGTTGTTGTGAGTGAGCAGACACCTTGAAGACCCTCAAGGTCACGCTTTTGTGATATTTACGCTTTTTTATATTTATATTTACTCCGCACAGTGGTTGAGCTTTTTTGTTTCAACTTTTTTTCAAGTCTTCCCAAAACCAAACTTTAAGCTCCACTGTTTGCACACTGCTCCAGCGTGTCATATTCAGACCCTGAAGGGTCACAGTGAAACACTGTTATTCTTGTCACCACAGTCAGCTCTGTGTGGCTCAAATGTGCTGCAGTGTCCTCTGTGAAAGGAGCTTACAGATTTTATGTCTAATTTAATGTAGTTCCTAATGTGCTAGCCTGGCACAGCCAGACTCCACTCTCACACAAAACACAGTCAAAAAATCGACATTTACTCTAGAGCAGGGGTCAAACTGGCTCCAGAAAGGTTTTCATTCCAACCAAGCAGGAGCACACCACACTCCAGAGAGGGGGAGCGAAACCACTTTCCACCCATTTCAGTCCAGTCCTAACCTGAAGACTCAAGGAAATGGGTGGAGTCTGGTGTGCTCCTATTTAGCTTGAATGAAAACCTGCAGCCACGCGGCCCTTTCGAAGACCTGTTTGAAACCCCTGACCTAGCGATTCTAAATCATTGTCCCATACATTGACGGAACAAACAATCTAAAATGTATACATTTAGATGAGAAGTAAACATACTTTAAAAAAAAAACTTTCTTGACCTTCTTGTTTGCATGTAGTCTGGCTTTGCCAGGCTATTACTGTGGTTCTTCTGAGGTCAATCCTTTTTACAGGTTTCACTTGTCTGTGTCTGTGTTGGTTGTCTTTGGTCCGTTTTACATTCTCTGTGAAAACTGTCATGATCCCACAACATGGAGCTGTAGGCTCTCCATACACCAGTTTAAAGTAGTTTGGCATGACACTATCATAGCTTCATAACCAGTAGGAGAGACTGTTGTGGCTGACAGCAGCGGTGATACCAGAGTGAACTGTAATCCTGTCTGCGTCTAGGTGTGAAACCTTACGCTTGCACCATGTGTGACAAGAGATTTTTCCAGAGGTACCACCTGCAAAGACACAGCCTCACGCACATGGGTATGGCCCGCCTAAGATCTTCTGTGTCTTATAAACAAATCAATGTACTAGAAAACTGTATTAAATTAATAAGGCAGAGGTTCGCTCTGCAGCTACACCAGTATTAAATTGTGGATGTAATTGTGTTGGTTACTGGCTCCTTAATGATAGTTTCCTGAATATGAGTGGTGCCACCGCATCAGTTTAAGCAGTTTTGTTGTTTATGGCCTGTGAGTAATTGCTGTCTGCGTTTAGGGGTGAAGCCGTACGCTTGCACAATGTGTGACATGAGGTTTGTCCAGCGCTACCATCTGGCCAGACACAGCCTCACTCATACGGGTACGGCTCCAGACACCATACCCTTCACAAAATCATATGCCTATAACACAGGGTTGATTTAAAAAAACAAACAAGGAAAGCATCAGCAATGGGTCTTCCTGATAATACTTCCACACCCATAATATGTAATACCAAATGTAATGTATGGATGGAATATGATTTAATAGTATAATTGAATGAGCTGGCCCTAATGTGGTTAATAACCGATTGTATTAATGTGTCGGCATTGGTAGTGCCATGATGTAATCCTGCTGTCTGCGTTTAGGTGTGAAACCTTACGCTTGCACCATGTGCGACAAGAGGTTTTTCCAGAGGTACCACCTGCAGAGACACAGCCTCACGCACATGGGTATGCGTCTCCAGGGCCCATAGCTCTATCATCAGCTCATGTCTGTGTTTAGTTTGGATCTGCTTAGAAAAAATTTGGACGTTAAACATCCCAAACATATCTTCATAAACTGTATACTTTTTGTTTTTGTTTTTATAAACCTGGATAGTAATGGTTAACAGCCCATCAATGGTGATTAGTGCTCTGGCTCAGCTGACCTCGCACCCTGTGTTGATGGTTCCAGGGGTGAAGCCGTACGCTTGCACCATGTGTGACATGAGGTTTGTCCAGAGATACCACCTGGCCCGACACAGCCTCACTCATACGGGTATGGCCTTTATACGCTTAACAGAACCATGGGAAAGAACAGATCAGAGAAACCTCTTACTGCAGTGTCAACATCCTGCGGGGTTATAGTATTTACACCATTGTCATAAATTGCCTCGACTTAGTTGTTGGTGCTTTGCAATTCAATTCATTTTTGTTCAGCCCTATATCTCTCTGGTCTCTGTCTTTCTCTCTTTGGTCTGTCTCTTGTTGCTTTCTCTCGATTGTCTCTCTGGTCTCTTGTTTCTGGTCTTTCTCCCTGGTATCTCTCTCTGGTATCTCTTTGGTGAGGACTTCGCACTCGGGTTGATGTCAGGATAGAGCCTGTATGTCTTTGTTGTATGTTGTGAACCCCTTTAGGCACATGCAGTCAGTTGTCATTGTACACACAAAAGGCATGTTGGTTTTTGAGCTATGCTAGTGCTAGGTCATTGCTAGTGCTAATGCTGCAGCTTCTCATGTTGTCGGAGCTAATCGCCTGCTCTGTGTGTGTAGGGGTGAAGCCGTTTGCTTGCTCCATGTGTGATATGCGGTTTATTCAGCGTAACCATCTGGAGAGACACAGCCTCACTCATACGGGTACGACCTTCCACCTGTAAACACACAGTCACATGACACGGCCGCGGCAAACTCGAGTTTGGGTCGTCATGTCTTTGATGGGATGTTGAACCAGACTCCAACCACGGCCCTGGTTTAGGCCGCTGCTCATCTTAACTAGCACCCTCTCAAGTCCACTCTGAAATACACATAATGAGTTGATGACAGGCCTCTGACGATATGTTTTAAATATCTTATAAATAGGGATGGTCCAGTAGGGATTTCATTAGTTTCTTTGAATCACAACCACTGTTATTAGAGCCTCTTTGTGTGTCGTGTTCAGGCGCACACAGACCCTACACAGCTCAGAGAACAAATACCAGCGCTAAATATCTTTTTGAATGAACCCCAATAAAACTATGACAGAAATTCACGGTGTGTAAAAACTGTCCATCCCTAGTTATAAAGAGTGAGATTGATTTGGTCGGAGTGAAGCGAGTCCCGACGTGCGTCCTGATGCGCTGTGCCCTTTGCTGCAGGAGAGAAGCCGTTTGCGTGCGACATTTGCGACATGCGGTTCATCCAGCGGTACCACCTGGAGCGGCACAAACGTGTGCACAGCGGGGAGAAGCCATACCAGTGCGAGCGATGCCAGCAGGTGTGACGTGCACAGCATCACCACACGCACAGCATCACACTACACAAAGAACTCTTTTTCTATTTTCCCATGATGAGGTTAGAAACTCCTCCTCTGACCCTAATAAAAAGTCTCCATCACCCAGTTCTTAATGATGTGTGCTGCCCTTTAACATTCTTTAACATCTTGAAGTGTTCTGTGGTGAGTAGTTCTTTCTCCTATTTGGTCTCTCCCTGGTCTCTCTTTCTTGTCTGTCTCTTTCTGGTCTCTCTCTGGTTTCTGATATCCTCTGATAATAGACCTGCCCCCTCCTTTTTAAAAAGCCTCCAGCTCCTGTAAATTCCTGGACCTCCTTGCACGTTTGACCTCTCCCCAGAGCAACTAAATTATATTGCTTAAAAACGAGAGAACAGGTTTATTTGACAATGGCTTCACAACAACCACTAACGATGTGTTTCATTCATAAAACATCTCTGAACATGTAAACTGTCGAGCACAACTGTACGTCATGTTTTCTTGAATATTATCACGTTCAATAGCCATTATCTGTATTTTGCCGTCTTCAAAGCTTCAAACTGCCTCTCATGTCCACGTTGGTGTTACCTCCACAGAACTTCTCTCGAACCGACAGACTGCTGCGTCACCGGCGTCTCTGTCAGGGCCGCAGCGTTCCCAAAGTGGAGACCCCCCAGTGCTGCGACCCGCGCCCGTACCCCCAGGAGCCGCCCCCGGCCCCGCCCTCTTGGAGCCCCCTGCACCCCCCTCCCGGTCGCCTCGCCGTCTGACGCCATATGGAACCCCCGGGCCACAGCGCTTGGACCGAACATGCGCCATAGACAAAACGCTGCTCCCAACGGGGTCCATTTCTTTTTCTACCATTTCCCCCCCCTCTTCCCTGAATTTCTACAGACTGTATACAAAAGTGTTCCCGTTTTGTAATCTATTTTTTTCTTTTACGGAAATCTTTTTATTATCGTGATTCTAAACCTGTTTCTCGGTGGTACTAGTTAAAGAAGGACATGGAGATGTAAGTATTCCGCTTTGGGAAGGTAGGTTTGGAGTCGAAGCAGCCATTACTTGAGTGGAAGTTGAAGCCGCATTGAAAAAACTGTTGGGACGTGTGAATTTTATCTTCCGGTGCGGTTTCAATGCTGTAAATAAGAGTTATGTCACTTGAGTAATGGTGTTTTTAAACCCGGATGGAAACAGAAGTCTTGTACATACAAACAAACCACCAGTGCTTCAAACCGGCGACTTCCAGGCCTCCGGACGAGCCGCGTCTCGCTGTTTTGGCGCGGACTGTTCCGGTCGGCTTTAACTGTGGGATCCTGGACTCTGGTTGGCGCTCACTCACCCGAGAGTCCGACACCTCGAGTTGTATTGTTCTAGACAAAGTGATGGCAGGCTACAGCTAAAGGCTCGTTTATGCTCTTTGGCTCACGGCCGAAGCCAAGAAAGCATTCCAAGAACAAATAGTTTTCCATTGAGAACTTTCCACAAATTTGTAAAAAAAATTAAAAATAAATTTTGCACACTTGGCTTCTACAGTCTGTTGTAATGATCAGCTCACTTTTAAAGTAATTGCACAAATTTAGTCTTTGATTACAACCTAGTCCTAACTGCCTGAGACATGAGCAGAACTTGCCTGTATCAGCGGCACAAGATCAAAACAAATCTACTGCGAGTATCTCTGTGTTTCCTTCTGATTTGGTCAATTCTCCCATGATTTTTTTTCTGAACGTCTGCATGTGGACAAAATGGAGCACAAACGAGCCTTTTTTAACCTGCCAGGTCTTCTGTACAAAACATTGTGAGTTCAGTGGGGTTCCTCTCAACAATCTTGTGGCCTTAGTGTTGTTGGTTTTTGTTTCTCCTTTTTACTCGACCGTCGCGAACCTTGGAATCTGAAGAAGACGGAAAGCAGCAGTTCAGTTTTGTAAGGTCAAGAGTTGCCCGGTCTTGGTAACTTCTCTTTTTACTGTGCGCATCAGGCAAAACATTACGACCACGTTGTTGTACACGTTTGTTTGAAGAAGAGATATGATTGTGATGTCGTGTTCCTTGGTTAGACCTACTTCAGTCCTTTTTTATTATAGGGTCCTTTTTATAGATCATGCGTTTCTTACCATTTTTTAAGTTTTTAAACATATAGGTCTAAGACTGGAATGTCCAAACTATGTGGCCCGCTGAGTTCACTGTATCATCCAGCCAACTTCAGATTCACCAATATAAGCAAAAATCTTTACCCCGTAAAGCTCATACCCTTTAGAATTCGGTAATTGATCTTTTTTTGGGGAATTTTACTTCTGCTTTCTACATTAGAAATGAGTAGAAAGCACTAGTGGAATGTGGTAAACATTTGTTATTCAGCCAACTTCTGCTGTATCAAAATATAGACCTCAGGAAGAGCCTGAATCGGCCCCTAGACTACACCCCAGGTCTAAGATGAGCTAAATTTATGGCTAATCGTTATGACTTTTAGCGTTTCTAGAGACAAACAACGTATTTGCGTATTTGATTATATTAAACTGTTACAAAGTACATATATATATACTTCTATACATACATATATATATATATATATCTCGACTAATGCAACACAAATGATCATCTTGTATTACAATGATACAATGGATCGAGTACTGCAAAATGCCATTGCTAAAGAGAAATCAAATGACACACAGACACACTCAAATCCAGAGGGCCCTCGGAAGTGCAGAGTGGCCTCACAGCAACCAGATTCGGTCTCGTGTCTGACTGTGTGGACTTTGCATGTCTCTGAGTCTGCGTGGCTTTCCTCCAGATTCTGTGGTTTCCCCTCCCACCCAAGACATGCCTCATCTATGAAATTCTCCAGTAAAGTATTCCTTAACCTTAAGTTTGTACCCTGAGAAAAGATTGAATTGGCGAAGTGTTCCAGAAAGACCAGAGGCAAGTTTGAGAAGATGTGTTTTTCGCATCAAGCTTTTGACATGCGGCCCCACGGTGTGTTTGCCACCATCAATACACCGCTGATGTTACAATGGCTGGTTGATGGTCGTAATGTTTTGCTTGATCGACGGATGGTTATTCAATAGATGTATTAAAATGCTTTCTTCTGCATCGCTCTGCCCACAGAGTCTAAGGCCAAGGCAGAAATAACCTTTTCTTTTTTGTAGCCAAGTACAATTTTCTATCCAAATACTATGATGTGATTGGTGTATATAACTATGTCTGTTCATTTTTATGGTTCGGGCCTTAAGTGAGAGTGAATATTGTGCTCAAAAAACATGGTAGAACTAAACGATATTGTAACTAAGACTTGCTATTGAAAGTACTCGCGCCTTCCCATGTGCCAGATGGTTCCTATTTTGGATACTAGCCATTTTACTTAGCTCCATCTTGCCACAAAAAGCCCCAATCTCACTACAGGATTTGGGCTCCAAGTTGCTTCTCTGCGTGTGACCTGATGTTTTTTTCAATTGCTGCTCTCTGCGAGCATAAAAAACACAAAGCAAGACAGCCATCATAGCACAGGGAATGAGACACATGGAGACAGAACCACCGGCGATCAGAAAAAGTAGAGCTGTAGTTGTGTTCAGTAGAAGATATTACGTAGTCCACACCTCTAGAGCATAGACAGGAATGCTGAAGCATTTGGCCTCAAACTCAAACAGGCTTCAAATTCTCTTGCATCAACCTCATAGCAACCAAACGGCCAATGAGGAGCAAGGCTCGTCTGAACCTGTTTGCGCTATTTCCTAGGGTAGCCCATCTTGAAAGAAGCCAGTGAAAGCGAACTCAAGCAGGCTCAATTCTCTTGTAGTTCCTTATTGCAACCAAACCGCCGATTTATGAGCGAGGCCAATCTGTTCCTGCTTGCATCAATTGCTAGGGATAGAAGCAGCTGGTTGGTCACTTGTTCTGGCTCATTTATGTAGACATAAAAATAGAAAAATTAGGATTATTTACAGCCTAGTGATGAGTGTCACGGTTGAAGGAGTAAAACGTCGCGCATGGGCACGTCTGAGGCTTCATGGAGCTGGCGGGTGAGCACGGACCATCCTTGTATAGTCCTTGTCCACAACAGATCAATATTAATCATGTTGCAAAGTTTTTACAAGACAAAGATGAATCTATAAGTTTGTGAAACAACATAACAGTAAAACTACATTTTAGTCAACGTTCTCTTAGCAAAATTATTTTAGGTCAAAGTTTCATGAGTTGATGTGTAATTACTGGTTATTCTAGTTAAAATGGCTTCCATCCACTTCCCATATGACTGTGGTTGGCAATTTTTGTTAAAAAAAATCCTCTGGTGTGATCCGGGCTTAAGTCACAAGGTTTTCTGTTGTATTCCCGATAATTGACGATTCAAAACTACTGCATCTAAAACGTGATCATGAGTTTGTGCTGTACACACTTCTGTAATAACTGCTACACTTTCTGTATAATACGTTAGACATTTTTGCTCCAATTCAAATAACTGCACAACAGGGATGGGACGAGACTCAATCGCCGCAAAAAACACAAGATATGAACCTAATTTACAATGAACTGCACAATTGACAAGCTGTTGTAAAGACAACATGCGGGGGTGAGAAAAATATACTTTTTGTTGCATTTTTGTTTAGTTTTTTCTGGCGAGATCTGGTCCCATCTCTGCAAGTCAAACGGATGTCCTTGGTAAACTGCCTGTACTGGAGTTTGAACCCCTGTGAGTGAGGGATGTTGGCCCCACAAACTGAAAACCAGACATTTCTCTCAAATCTACAATGTCCCATTTTTGAAGATTCTTTAATAGTAATTCTAGATTTATTAATACAAAAAGGTTTAATGATTTCTTATTCGACTGAATCCTATTGAAAAGTAAAAGTCTCATGTTGTTGGGTCAATCTGGCTTAGATTTTTATCAACAATCCTTATGTATGATCCCTCAAACAGTAGAAGATTGTAAAATACTTGTAGCTAGCAATAAAAGCTCTCATTAAAAGTTGCTGTTTGTCTACTGTATCTGTTTTTAAACGTGTGTAATTCTCCAAGTAACGGTGAGTGAGTAGCTTCTGTTGCTAGCTCTCGGGGTGAGCTCTTGTTACACTGCTACGACTGCAAAACTGGCTCTGGGTTCATAATGGTTATAAACTAAGTGCTTAATTAAACATTTTCTTATTAACTCGTGATTCTGAGGACTGAGAAAGTGAATACTGGACCGACTTCAAAAGGAAATGGTTGAGTTTGCACAGGGGAGAGGTCTTGAAGAGCAATGGGATTAAAAAAATTGTTTGTAAAGGTACATTTGGAGAAAGACCACAGAAGAGGTTGCGTTCACGTGACATCAGCGCGTTCCAAGGAGCCTTTAGTTCTACGTCATGGTGCTACGTCCCTTAGGACTTCGCTAGTGGGATATCACTCGTGACCCCCAGGTCACACGCCAGAGAGATCAAAATAATTTGCTCCAATCACCAGCCACCATCCTCTATAAATGCCCCTGCACAAGGCCGCACCCCCTCTTTCACTCTGGCGCCGTTTGAGATCTACCACAGTACTTACTTCATTCTGAGATGTCTTCCTTGTTCGTCAGAGTTCCCTTCGCCCTCCGGCGTCGGACGTCGTCACTGGATCCAGACGGTGGAGGACTTCACCTCTGTGGGCGCCACCACTCGCGTTCGTCCATTACGCGACACGTGAGTGGCCTAAGCCCCTAGCAGCCAAGAGGCCTGCTCTGGGGTACGACATATACTGCAGCGGGCAGGACTGGTCCTGGACCGGTGATCGAGGATTCAGTCCGCATGGCCCTGCAGCCCTC